ACTTATACGACATAGATAGCAAGCATATATTCTATTCATTTTTTCAAACTGATTCGTTGAAATAGATGTCAGATGAAGTATCTCAGTACTTTATGAAGTTATACTTATGTATCCAAGTATGGTCACACCCGTTTTTCACTTTCGGCAAGAAACAAACAAATAAAAAAATTCTTTACCATGTCAAAGTAATAGTTCGTTATCGATAAATGTTTTTGGGTTTTTCACCTTATAATCCAAGTAACTCGACAGAAGTTCCATGTCATTCATCCACGTTTTTTCTGAAATAAATTTATCATAGGCATAATCTTCCCCTTTGTTCAAAATCAACAAGGGGTTCAAATTAAGGATATAGTTACATCCTTCCCATTCCTGAGTTACGATCCNATACACTCTCACCATGCACTGTCATAACAGTAACGCAATGATGTTCAATGCCACATTGTTCTATAACATATCTATAGATCTTGCATACTTCTACTTCTTCATCGTTCACTTTTCCCATCATTGGACCACTACAATCCTTTAAAAAAATATAATGATTTTTTTTTATGATAATAATTTCAATTTCCCAATAATATTACATAATGTACATTTACACTGTAGCTCAAAAATATTTATTCGGTTTGTATCTCCTCATTCGTCCCCAATTTTAAAAAAGTATTGAATATTTATACGTGAAAAAGGTATCTAGAGCTCAGTCAATCATAAGGAATATTTTAATTTCTTCCCTTACATATATATTCCTACACATGTCGCCGTTAATGTAGAGAGCAGACAGCTCAATGATCCCGGTGAATCTGGTTATGGCGAGGTACCGCATCAGTAAAAAGTTAGCCCCTTCGCCTATGAGATGACAAGCCTTTGCGTAACTGTAGTACTTCCTTTCTTCGAATTTCTCCTTCAAACTAGTCGTCCTGAGGTAGTATTTATTATCCTGAATCGCGACGTACACAGTTTTTTCATTCATTATCAGCTCTCCAGNAAGGTTTGTAAACTATATGAGTGATAGACAACAATACGTATGCATAGAAAATCGAAAAAGTTCCATAAGAAAAACAAATTTTGAGGTACCGCAAGGATCTATTCTTGGCCCCCTTGCTACATTAACTCATTAACATACCTACCTCTGGAGAGATCATTTGAATTATTGCTGATATATACTCTTCTGATAACTTCAACAAAATTCATGATGATATAAAAACAGACATGAAAACAATTTCAGGTTGGCTACAAGAAAATAAATGTACTCTAAATTTCCAAAAGTCCTTCTATATGAATATTTCTAAGGGACTATTAAACAATTGTTCCAATCCTGTAATTATTGATACTAATTCTATTACATTGTTAGGATTATATATTGATGAAAAATGATCGTGGATAAGACATATTGAAATTATTGAAAAGAAAGTAGCACCCCTCATTGGTATTCTATTCAAAATAAGGAATCATATTCCTCTGAAATTTTTGAAAAATATTTATTTGAGTGTTATATGGAGCTGTTCAAGTATTACGCGCGTTTCGCCAACAAAGTTAGCATCCTCAGGAGAAGAAAATTGAACCTAGTCTAGTCTGGTTAATCCTTATATACTAAAATTTGTTACCTGAGGTTGTATACCTGAAGTCCAATATGGAATTTCTCAGTTATTAACTACCTGCAAGTTCTTAGTAATTATTCTCTTCCTAACAGAAGATTAAAAAGCTGGCTAAACGGGATGGGTCCCTTACATTTTGCTACTTCTAGACTCCCACATGCATCGAGTAGCCTGGTGTCATGCACATGCTTAATCAGTTTCAGATTGTTTTCACCAATTCTGTGGTCCTTGTCTAGAGCATGTTGGGCGACACTGAATTTTTCTATCCTTCCGTATTTCATGTATGCACAATGTTCCTTGAAGCGGGTTTTAATCGCTCGTCAGCTCTGGCCGATGTATTTGCTGTTGCAATCTTGACAAATGATTTCGTAAATCCCCGACCTTTCTGTGTTTTCTAGTCTATCTTTTGGATTACCAAGAAGCTGTTGCAATTTATAAGAAGTTTTATATGCAACTTTCATATTTACTTTATCGAATATCTGTTGAAGCCCTCTCGTGTATTGGGGTTCATATGGGATTACTATAAACTTGTTATTACTCTCATCTTTTTGAAAAGTCGCAGATTTACGAAGTGCTTCCCTGAACTTACATTTTCTTATTATCTTGTCAACTTTATCTGGGTTAAAACCGTTTGCTTCAGCTACATACCAAATCACTCTCTTTTCATTGTCGTACTTATCTTTCTTCTAAGGAAAAGTTATTAACCTGTGTACCAGAAATTGCAGTGCCGCCATTTTGTGTTGTGGACAATGATTCGAGTCATTGGGAATGTATCTGAAAGTGCCCGTGTCTTCCCTGTAAATGTCAAATTCTATTTCGTTATGTTCGTTCCTTATGACCAATACATCTAAAAACGACAACTTTCGTTCTTTTTCTACTTCATATGTGAATTTTATACTCTTACACCTGTTGTTTAGTGCTGTATGCTTGTATCCACTACAGCGAATATGTCATCAACATACCTGATCCAGACCCTAGGGAAATAACTGAGTTCTGAACTTACAATATAAATTTAGTTCCGTTAACCTGGTAGCCATCATGAATACTACTATCTAATCACTATAGATGGTGATTACATCAGCAGTAGTTATTAACTTTTTTACATATGCGACAACCCACACATTGTCTATGTATGCAGCATGGGAGGGAGATAAGAACTTTGCTTACCTTTGTTGACAGGGAGGATGAGGGGAGGGTAAATAATTGTAATAAATATGCTTACGTAATACTTGAACGGTCCCTATACTCACAGCTGCATTATTTCTATTTGGATAGCTATAAATTTTAAGAATTTAATTTTGAAATATAAAATTTCAATAGTTGAAAAAACATTTGAATTGAGAAATTGACTTGAACAATTTTTTTCTCCTGAATATTTTCATTTGTCCCAATCAATTCCTTATTGAACTTTTTTCGAATATTTCACGGACACAATTTTTCAAGCTTGTTTTATTGTTACATTATAAACCTATACTCGTCCCAAAGTATCCATTGCATTATATTTGCCGAGTTTGGATTAATATTGACAAACATAAAGCAAAACGTATAATTTGCACTCTCAATATTGTAATATTTTTGTAGACTCGGTGGCAATGGTGTCTGTTATTAATTTATTATATTTGGAAAGTCGATGTTGTTTTTAGTTTTGTATATGTATAACTTAGCCAATAAGCAAGAAAAGTGATATGTACAATAGTTGATTTGTTGTTTTATTTTTTGGTACTGTTTCAATGATTTTGAATATATTCAAATATACACTTTTTTAATTTTATTTCTCTGTTCACTTACCCATACAAAAGTCTGGAATAAAGTCGTTGAGATCGAACAAAGGATACTGATTATGCCACAACTTCAAGTTTTCGTATCTATCTTTGCAGGCAATTCTTTTTTCCACTTTCAAAAGTAAATCGCTCAAGATTTCTTGAACATTTTCCACAGCATATTCGTCTTTATCCTCTCCCAATTTGACTTCAAAAGGGGCTTCCGGCCATATTTCTTGGCCTCTCAAATAATACAAGATTGTTTCTTCAAAGGATTCAGGAATTTTTTCCACCATTATAATTCCTTGATATCGAATGACTTGAATTTTGACACTGAACTTATGCCAACTTTGTTTTTTTGTGTACTTTAAATCGTATATGCAAATAGAAACTAGCTGATTAAAATTGTTTATACACTTAGAATGTATATATATTTCAATCATAAATTTCGTTGGTTCCAAATACATTTTTCAGTATTAACGCCATCTATTCAATAATAGTCCAACTATATTTTTAAAAGGAATCATATGTTAGGTTTCTATAATTTT